GGAGTGGAAGGGAAACGCCGGGGGTGTGGCCTGCGCCTGATGGACAGCCTCGCGGGCCACCCCCTCGAGGGGCGTCCTGAAGGAAGGCAGAGATAGCCAATGGACGTGCCTGAGGCGCCCCGGCCCGCCCTCCCCCCCAGCCAATGGGGGCGTGGAGGGCGGGGCCTCCCCGGGCTCGGCCGCGCCGCCTCCTCCTCCGCCTTCTCCGCCTCCTCCTCCTCACCGGCGCTAAACCCGGGACTGGACCGAGCGGAGTTGTGCGTGTTGCCGAAGGGGGGTGGGCCGGGGGAGGGGAGGTTCGTTCCGTGGAGCCGCAGCCAGAACCGGGTGAGGCTTATCCCCGCTGTCTCTCCAGTCCAGGTCCGCCGATTGTGGGGGTGGCCGGGAGCAGCGCAGCCTCCGGAGGAGGAGGCGGAGGCGGAGGCGACGGGGGAGGCGGAGATGGGTGAGGGCAGCCTCCGGAGCCTCCCACCGACCCAGGATTAATACCCCGCGGCGCGGCTGCCGTCGCCGCTCCGCGTCGGGGCCTCGGGGGCTGCTCTGGGCTCCGCTCATGTCAGAGGCGCCTTCGCGTGCGGCCCGAAGGGCTGCGAGAGTGAGGGCGAGGCCGGGAGGGCTGGGTGAGGCGGACGCCAGAGGCGGGGGGCGCCCGGGGGCGGGGGTTGCCCGGGCCGGGGCGGTGGGAGGTCGCGGGGTATTTTTCCTTTCTTTCTTGCGGGGGGGGGGAGGGGTGCCTCAGTTCGTTCTCCCGCTCTCGGGGCTGCGCTCCCACCCTCTCCGCCGTGGCCCGAGGTCCCCAAGTTTTTCGGGGCGAGGGTGCTGCCTCCTGCCCCACCGGGTCCCCTCCTTCGCTCCTCTCCTCCCCGGCGCTGCGCTGCGCGGCTCCTGCTCCTCACGTATTGTTTGGCTGGGTCTCTAATGGCGGACGGGGAGGCAGCGCTGCCGGTCGCCGACTGCAGGCGGGGGGGGGGGGGGGGGGGGCAAGTCTCGGGCCCAGGGCGACTGCTTGGGGCAAATAGGGGTGGTTTCAGCCCAGCGGCGACGGGAACCGCCCCTTACCTCCAGTTCGGCGCCCGGAGTGACGGGGATGACGCTGGGTGGGCAAATTTAGAAGGAAATACAATTCTCCTGCTGGCGTCGAGGCAACGTTTGCCCTTCCCCCTCTCCCTTCCCGGGAGCAGGCTTGGTGCTCACCTCCGCCCCCCACTTTTGTAGTTTCAAGAAACACATTTACTGTTGTCCAGTCGTGGTCCCTTTCGTGTTTTTTTAACTCGGTTTGCGCACTGCTTTGAGGTGGGGGAGGGTAGAAGAGCGCGGAAACTCCTTGACTTCTTAGCCCTTTGCTTCTTCCCTTTGGGTTAGGAGTTGGTGCTGCGTCTGTAACTAAATCATTTTTTCTCTTTACTCTCATTTTAGGACCGGGAATCACCTTCAGGCCAATCTGGTGAAGCTTTGGCAGAAATTAAGGAGGAAAACATTTCTTTTGTGAGTCATTTTACCCCGCTTTTCTGTTTAATAAACTTAGCGAAGTAGTACGGTGTTGTTCTGTGGGGTTTACTTTTCTGTTGTCTTGAAGGCAAAGAGTTGATTGCTTGGGTGGACCCTGTCCTCAGAGCCAAGCCAGAGTGATCCCTGGGAAACCACTGGGAGTGGGTGCTTTTATTCACACCACTGGTATTCTCCAGAGTTCCAGAATAGGACTTGGAGCTTTATTTTTTAAATGCTTTGCATTTAACTTTCTTTCTTTTCTAATGGATAGAAATATTTTTTTTCTTTGCTGTCGGGTTAAAAAAAAGCCACTGAATCTTATCTTGTTTCAATGTTGACAAAGAGTATTTTTTTGTATGTCTTATGTTTGAGGAAAATTTATATTTATGTACCCTGACAGTCCTCCAGCTAGCATCACAGCAGGAGATACATAATCTAGTTGTCACACTAGTGGTGATTCTACCAAGGACCACTGAATTGGTAGTGACAGCCTGATCCCTCCATTATGAAGGTAATGTGTCTTTTCCTTGTTACTAGAAAGTAATCTTTGTGGTGTTCATTTTGGAACAATAAAATGCCTGGGTCTCTGTCAGCTATTCAGTTAATGGTTTTAACACCAGTCTTTGCCTAAATCAATTTTATTAGGAGTCTCAAATTGACGATTTTTTGAAAAAACACCTCTAATTGTACATTTATTATTTGGGATTCTGTACAATCTTAGATCCTGCCTAGTTTATCCTTTCAAGCTGATCAGTTTTCCATTGCTCATCAAAAAGAACCTTGTGATTAGTTTATCTCCTGTAGTGGTGTTCTTGCCTTTGCTTTGCCCTTGTTGCTGCTTGCCAGACTTGGCTTTGCACTTATTCTATTTTGCTTCACAGCACACCTCTTTAGTTAGTTAGACCTAGGACAACGTGTCAGGATGTACGGTGCTATGTCTAGCTTTTAGGAATGGATATTGTTTCAACTGGGTAATTTTCATAGGATAGCTGAAGTGGTGATATTTCACATTCTGTGGTAGTTTTGTGCTATGATGGGATGTGGGTATGGTTCTAGTGCTATGATGGGCTTCATAGGGAAAGGGAACTAGTGGGGACCTAGAAGACTGACAAGGTAACAAGTCAGTGACTCAATTATCACTTAGAAAAGCCGTTGTTCTCACCAGAGTGTTCCTAGGGTATTTGCAGCATGATGTAGTACAAAGGACTGGGTTTTAGTGTCGGCCAGAATGAGGTTCATATTTGTGCTCTCTTAATTGCTTTGGCAAGTGCAAACTAAATAAGGGTGAGTAAATAAACCTTTACTATGCACATTTATAAATGCATATTTTGTTAGTTAAATGCACTTTTATGAGACACTTTTTTTTTTTTTAATCAGCCCTGAGCTAACATCCATTGCCAATCCTCCTCTTTTTGCTGAGGAAGATTGGCCCTGAGCTAACATCTGTGCCCATCCTCTATTTTTTTTATATGTGGGACTCCTGGCATAGCATGGGCTGATAAGCAGTGGGTAGATCCATGCCCAGGATCTGAACCTGCAAACCCCAGTCTGCCAAAGTAGTGTGTGAACTTAACCACTATGCCACTGGGCCGGCCCCTAGGCACATTTTTTATAAGTGAGTAAATTATGTCTGTCTTCCAAAGATTGCTATAAAGATTGAAATGAGTATAAAATATAGGTAAATATTTAAGATTAATTTGACGCTTGTTGAAATCCTAGGATATAGGCAAAGTATGTGCCCGAATACCTTCTCATGGGAGAAGGATTTAACATTTTTTGTACTCTTTAACATGGTCCAGGCAGAGGCTAGGGACTTGCATGTCCAGTTATCTCAATAAAAACCTGCGAGTCATGTATCATCCCCGTTTATAGTTTAGAAAAGTAAAACTCATTAAGGTGAAGTAATTTGCTCAGTGCCACATAGCTAATTAGCTAAACCATAATCTTTTCTGTTTTTGGATAATATTGTAGAAGTAATCAAAACTTTTCTGTAATCTTGTGTTTATGGAATTAAGAAAGTGTTTAATGGTTAAATTATATACTTTGAGGAGTGGTTTAACTTTTTTATAATCTGGGATTTGAAAGTAGGTGAATACTTAATCTTTTTTTCAGAGGTAGATGATTGCAATGAGCTTAGCATAAAGAATGCCCTTTCTGTTTTCTTTGAGAAGATTAAGATAGGACCTAGCAGCCACCAGAGGATACTATGGAGTCAGCTATAGCTCTTTTCCAGAAACTATTCTTTTCTCTTTTAGGTTTATTCAGATAGAGAAAGGACTGAGAGAATACGTGTATAATGAATTCTTATATTTCATAGCTCAATTTATGCTGAATTATTGCCTGTTTCCTTTGAAAATCAACCACATAATAAGCTTACTGGATAAGTGTTAACCATGATTTCAATTTTTGTGTTTCTTTTATAACCCTTTTAAACTGGTCCCTTAGATTTGTTATTTCTTTATCTTTGAAATAAATTTATTTGAATGTTGATTTTGTTTTAATGGATTCACTCATCTTAATAAAAGATAAGTAATTTTTAAAAATTGTTTTATACATTAATTGCATATAATGTAATGGTATGAAATAAATTCTAGAGTCAACATTTCTTGGATTTGAATCCTAACTACCCTTTCCAGTGACGGAGACTTGGGCAGGTTAAGCAGATTACTTTCTTCTTGAGTCTTAGTTTCCTAATGGGTAAAGTAGGAAAAAGAATAGTCCCTACTTCACTTACATAAGCATTAATTGAATTAATATATTTAATGGCATAGCACCTATTAAGAGTAAATGTTATCTATTACATGACTATAACTATTATCAATTAAAATTACTTCGGAAAATTTTTGAATAGAAATGTTACTTAGGGGCCAGCCCGGTGGTAGCAATTAAATTCACGTGTTCCACTTTGGTGGCCTGGGGTTCGCCAGTTCGGATCCTGGGTGCGGACCTACTTACCACTCATCAAGCCATGCTGAGGTGGTGTCCCACATAGAAGAACTAGAAGGACCTACAACTACAATATGCAACTATGTACTGGGGCTTTGGGGAGAAAAAAGAAAAAAACAGGAAGATTGGCAACAGGTGTCACCTCAGGGCCAATCTTGCTAAAAAAAAATATGTTAAAAAAAAAATGTTACTTAGCATATTTCAATATAAGATGTTTAAAATGGAGTGGTGACTACCGTATAAAGTGAGTTTTCTTAATCATTCAGCACCCATACAGTTCTTACTTCTTCATGCTCTTGAGTTTCTAAGAAAACAGGCTAGCATGTATAAACTTAGCTTAGCTTTCCATCTGTTGTTTCTACGTTCTTATATACATTCCAGTTACACTTACTCTTCTCCTCTTGCCTTTGAGATAGGGATGATTTCTTAGTCATGATCAGTTTCACTACTACCTGTGCACACATCCTTATCTTCTCTCATCTGCTTAAAAGCCTTGCTCCATTGATTATTCACTGATCCAGATTCTTCAACTATGTCTCTCTGCTGGATGCTTTCCTTTGTCATACCCTAGTGCATAGTAGGTACATGGAAGTGTTTGTTGAATATAACAGAGTGGTTAAGAATTTGGAGCCTAGAGTTTGAGTCCTATTTGGGCGTACCCAGAACAATTTAATTAGCTTCTCTTTACTGATCTGTAAAATGGATTAAATTATCTCTATGTCATAGGGTTGTTTTCAGAATTTTACGTAAAAAACCCCTGGCATTATGTCTGGCCATTCCTGGACAAGGACCAGAAAGATTAAGAAAGATTTAATCACGTAGTTGTGTTGGAAGCAGAGAATTTAGAAAACAATAACCAAAGGCACTGGGGAAATAGGGATTGGACGGCATTATAGTCAGTTCAGTAGATAAAAGTAAATGTAGTATTGTGATTATACTTGGACTCTTGATTATTGGTACTTGATAGAATTATTTTGTTACTATTTTCTATATCAAAGGAAGACTTAGGTATTTTTTCACTGTAAAGGGTGAATAGGTTAAATTGAGTAAATTTCTTTTAAGGACTACCAAAAATTGGCTAATTAATTTACATCAAACTCTGAAGAAGTAAGCATTAAATTGTTAATGGGAGAGGGAAAACAGAATGGGTGAGATTTTTTTCCCTAAAAGTTAGATAAAAATCACAAAGAATTCAAAATTTCATTTGTGTTATTTCACTGCAGTAAAATGCCATATTCATAACATACTAGAACTCTTTTTTGTTTGTTTCTCTGTTTCTTACAGGTTCTTTAGCATGGATAAATGTTCATTGGGAGGATTAGACTTGACTGAACAGACTCCTGTTTTATTAGGGAGTAAAGCCATGGCGGCTAGTCTCACGGATGTAGGAAATTCATTTGGTGACTCAACTAGTCCTTTAGTTAACAGATCTAGAAACTCATCGACGGAAGATGATGATGATGATGATGTTGTATTTATTGAATCTATACAGCCTCCTTCAAATTCTCCTCCAGCAATAGCTGATCAAAGAAACTTTAAATTTGCTTCATCAAGAAATGAAAAGCTACGAGGAAATTATTCCGTAATTCTTCCTTCCTCAAGAGAGTTGGCTTCTCAGAAGGGAAATATAAGTGACACAATTGTCATTGATGATGAAGAGGATGTAGAAACAAATGGAGGGAAAAAGAAAAATTCTTCCAGTTTTATTGAGTGGGGACTTCCTGGAACTAAAAACAGAGCCAAAGATTTGGATTTCTCCACTTCCAGTCTTTCAAGAAGTAAGGTAAATGCAGGAATGGGTTATAGTGTTATCACTACAGAATCGACTCTGAAATTCGTATTACTAATGTTACAACCTTAGAAACAGGTATAAGCTCTGAATGCTGGGCGAGATATGAACTTAATGATTACGCATATAACATCACTGTAGAATACCAGCTTGGGAGATGTCGCTAAAGGACTGCAGTCAAGTAACTTTGGTGTTAATATACAAACATACACCCCATCTTTGACTTCACAGACCAAGACTGCAGTAGGACCTTTTAATCCTGGTAGAATGAATGTGGCAGGAGATGAATTTCAGAATGGAGGATTTGCAACTCATCACAGTCCTGGTAAGTAGTAAGTAATATTAAATATTTTCCTTCTACTGCAAGTAAATTTTTGCCTGTTATTTTTGGTACCTATGTCTAGTCTATTTACATTCTATACGTGAAATATTTCATTTCTCTTGACTTTTGTGTTAAGATAGAATATTGTACTTAATAAAACTGTGCAGTCTACTTGGTTGCTGTGTTTTCCGGAATTAGTAATCTGTTTTACCTGGTGTGTGTGCGCGCATGCGTGTGTGTATAGACCGGCGTGTGTGCACACGCGCGCATGTTTGTGTAGACTGTCTGTGAGCTAACATCTACTGCCATTCCTCCTCTTTTTTTTTTCCATTTTTCTCCCCAAAGCCCCAGTAGATAGTTGTATGTCATAGTTGCACATGCTTCTAGTTGCTGTATGTGGGACGCCACCTCAGCATGGCAGGACGAGCGGTGCATTGGGTGTACGCGTGGGATCCGAACCTGGGCCGCCAGTAGCGGAGCTTGAGCACTGAACGGCTAAGCCATGGGGCTGGCCCCTACCCAATGTGATTTACATCTCAAGTGTTTTAATTGAAAACCTTCAACTGCTACCACCATCTTTGTCTATTATTATCTTTATTTTAATGTAAAAATCATAGAATAAAAAGATGGATAGTGAACTGAAAGAATAAAGTAATATTATGTGATAATTGAATCTAATTATGTAACTTGAAATTTCAGTTTTTGCTTTTCAGGTGTTTACTTTTTGACTGCTTGTCTCTGATTTTCATTTTTAAATCAGCATTTTATTAGTTGCTTCACTTTTAAAGTTGGAAGACTTTCTTGCCTTTAAATCAGAGACCTACATTTTAAAAACTTTTATGTAGACAGTCTTCCTTTAATAAAATGAAAATTATTTAAAATTTAGCAAATCTTTTTTGTGGCTTGTTCATGAATTAGTATGTGGCTTTTTGGGGTGGTTTTTCTGTTTGTTTTGACACTTTTAGTGCTTTTAACTATTGACCAACTTAGAATTTTGAGCAAGGCCTGAAAAGTAACTAGAGCTAAGAACCTAATCACTTATTGCTTTAATGGAATGCTAATATTTTCTTTTCTTTATTTTGTTAAATTAATCCTTTTTTCTGGTTATAAGAATACGTTATTATTAGGAAAAAAATCGTAGTTAGAAATAAGAAAGGGCCGGCCCTGTGGCATAGCAGTTAAGTACGCGCACTCCGCTGCTAGCGTCCCGGGGTTCGGATCCCAGGCGCCAATGCACCACTTGTCTAAGCCATGCTGTGGCAGCGTCCCATATAAAGTGGAGGAAGATGGGCACAGATGTTAGCCCGGGGCCAGTTTTCCTCAGCAAAAAAAAAAAAAAAAAAAGATTGGCGTGGATGTTAGCTCAGGGCTGATATTCCTCACAAAAAAAACAAAGAAAGAAAGAAATAAGGAAATAATACTTGTCACCTTATTCCACTAACTAGAAGTGACCACTGTTAAAATTTTGATTTGGTTGCTTTCAATCTTTTGCCTCTCTGGTTTTTAAAAATATAATTTAGGGCATATTATATATATTTTTTTGTTCTGATTTACTTAATCTAAATTTTTGTATGTCATTTTAAAAATGGAAGTTTCAGTGGCTATAATATATTCCTTTGTTTGAGATACTCATTCCTCTACCTTCTTTAGCATTTCTGTGGTTTCCCATTTTTTACTGTTGAAATTCTACACTAAATGTCTTTGTTTACAGTGTTTATTATTTCCACAGGACAGTTGTTCTCAAACTTTATGGTCTCAGTTTCACTCTTGTTAATGATTGAGGATCCCAAAGATTTTTTTGTTTTTATCTATTAATTATCCTATTAGAAATTAAAACTTCTTTAAAAGTATTTTCATTTAACAATAGTTATGTATTATATGACAAATACCATTTTTAATGAAAAATAACTATTTTCAAAAAAATTTAGTGGAAAGAGTGACATCATTTTATGTTTTTGCGACTCTCTTTAAAAGAGGTATATCTAGCTCCTCACATCTATTTCTACATTGAATCTGTTGCAGTATCTTGTTTTGTTTGAAATATAAGAAGAAAATCTGGCCTTACACAGATAAGTGGTTGTAGAAGGGAGCACTATGTTAATAGCCTTTTTAGATAATTGTAGATAGTTTTTTTTTTTCTTTGACACAGCACCAAAACTTGAAAAGTGGTAGATTCTTAAAAGTTCTTACAGTGTGGAATCTGAAGCCATATAATGAACTTTTCGTACTCTATTACATTAAAATTCATTGATCTTCAGGGCTGGCCCTGTGGCTTAGCGGTTAAGTGCGCACGCTTCACTGCTGGCAGCCCAGGTTCAGATCCCGGGCGCACACCAAGGCACCGCTTCTGTGGCCATGCTGAGGCCGAGTCCCACATACAGCAACTAGAAGGATGTGCAACTATGACATACAATTATCTCCTGGGGCTTTGGGGGAAGAAAAATAAATAAATAAAAATTTTTAAAAAAACTTCATTGATCTTTGAATAGATCTTTTACCTTTGTATGATTTGGTGACATTGTGCTTTGGTTATTTGGAAAATAGTGATTCACTGAGTTACAGAGATCTTAATATGATACTTTAGGAAAGCTGTCAGGCTCACAGTGATGGATACAAGTTTTCAAAGATTCTAATTTTCACTTCAAAGCTCAAATTTTCTCATTGGCAACAAATGCTGTCATTTTTCTTGAAGTGACAGCCTTATTTGATGTATTTTCAAGAAAATGTCAATAACTAGTCAGTCATTCTTTCAAGTAAAAATAGTATTTTGTTAAAAAAAAAAAAAAGGCTAGTTTAACTTGCAATGCAGCAGTTTCACAAGTGCTCATCCACTTTTCCTTTGTACTTTGTTCTGTCAACCACTGTACTTTGGTATGAAACAGAAGTAGTTTATGCATGCTTCCCTGTTCATCATACAGAATATGGAAATGTAGTCAAAGGCTAAAATTTAGTAAAATGAATGCTAATTTTTACTGTTTCATCAAGGACATCTGTTGTATAATAATTTCAGTGGCCTTTGTCCCTGGTTCTGGGGGAGAGACTAAATCCTTGGAATTTCCCAAGTAATAGGAGTGCCTTTCTATTCATGAGCCTTTTGAATCACACCCGAATTTGTGCTAAGAGGTGAGATGTGACTAAGGCTGAGGGAGGGTCACCAGAAAGACCAACCATGTAATTAGAGTGTTGGGGCTTTAAGCCAACCCCTATCTCAAGGGAGGAGAGGAAGGCTTGAGATTGAGTTCAATCAGGTGCAATGAATAATTCTGTCAGTCATACCTACGCAATGAAACACCAACAAAAACTGTAGACACTGAAGCTCAGTGCAGCCTCCTGGTTGGTGAACTCACCACTGTGCCAGGTGGATGGTGCTACCTGATTCCACGAAGAGTGGGCACAGAAGCTGTTCATTTGGGACCTTTCCAGACCTCAGCCTATATATCTCTTCATTTTGCTGGTCCTGATTTGTCTCCTTTATAATGAAACTGTGATCATAAGTATGGAGCTTTCCTGAGTTCTTTGAGTCATTTTAGCACATTATCAAACCTGAAGGGGGTCTTAGGAACCTCCCAGATTTATAGCCAGTTGGCCAGAAGTACCAGTGCCATCTGAAGTGAAAGCAGTCTTGTTGGGGACTGTGCCTTTAAACCTGTGGGGCAGGGGTCTGATGCTAACTCCGGATGGTTGGCATCAAAATGGTATCCACTACTTGGTGTTGGAATAAAAACCATAAATGAAGATGACACTTTTCTTTTCTGCAAATGCGTGATAGTGAAGGAAACTTGAGTAGTACAATTTGGTTCCACTGCCAGCAGTTTTACCCGTCATTGCTTTTGTACCATTAGTGCAGATGCCAACACAATGAAAAAGGCAAGTAATCTTAGTATTATTATGTAAATGGTTTGACCTCACAGATCCCTTTTTTAATTTCTTTTTCTAATACTATATTGAATGGAAGTGGTAAGAGTATAAAGCCTTGTCTTGTTCTTGACCTGTGGTGAAGGGGGAAGCATTTGACATTTTGTCATTAAGTATATTAGCTAATGTCAAATATAATTAGCTTTTTTGTGTGTGTGTGAGGAAGGTCAGCCCTGAACTAACATCCAACGCCATTCCTCCTCTTTTTGCTGAGGAAGACTGGCCCTGGGCTAACATCCGTGCCTATCTTCCTTTACTTTATATGAGATGCCGCCACAGCATGGCTTGACAGGCCGTGCGTCGGTGTGTGCCTGGGATCCGAACCTGCGAACCCCAGGCCACCAAAGCAGAGCGCACGCACTTAACTGCTGCGCCACCAGGCTGGCCCCTATAATTAGCTTTTTATGTTTATGGTTAACTTAATAGCTTGTTATTTGAGGTTGTTTCTAGTCTTCGCAATTGTAAATAGGTTTCTCATGAATATCTCTGTAAATTTGGCATACTTGTGTTATTTTCTTGAAAAGTTCCTATAGGTGGATTGCTAAGTCAAAATGTCAACATTTTTTTTTTTTTTTGTGAGGAAGATCAGCCCTGA